ATTGCTCACACAGTTGTAGAGATGGAAGAGTCTCAAGTATGTGTGTGTGTGTATATAATTTCACTGCTTTTGCTTCCTTAGAGAACCCAGCCTAAAACAGAGAGATTTGGCTTCTCTGTCTTAAACTTATCACTATTGGTTCTCAACTGTTATTGGCCTTAAGCCATCTGTTGTTAAGTGTGGTGGAGTCAGTTCTGACTCACAGAGACCCTGTGTATACAAGGGTTCTGAGGACTGGCTGGTAGGTTTAAACCACCAACCTTGGGGTTAGCTTGTGGTTAGAAGTGCTTCTCTTACAGTGCCACACCAGGACTCCTTAAGTCATCTAGGCCGTTTTTTGTTTATGTTTTTAAAATTCTGCAAGCTTTCTATTCCATCACTCACTTATTAAAGAGTCCAAGTTACTATACATGCTCACAATCTGGGATTATGTTACTTCAAAGGAGAAAAAAGTGATACTATAATTACTATACTGCATCACATAAAACAGAAGAAGTTCAATGAGAAGACTGAGTTTACTTCTGGATATATCACATTAAAATAGAAGCCACAAGTGAACTGGGTTAATTCAGGGAAGCCGTGACATCTTCTAGGCCTCATGTGTTGCCATAGTTACACAAGAGCACTCCTTCCTGGCTTTAACAGGCAATCCTGCTCTCTCCTTACTGGGCTCATTGGCACCTGCCTACTGAAATTCTCTTCTAGATAGTGGTCTGCAGGAGGAGGGGTTGTCTAGCTTTAAAAACAATAAATACCACTCTGGACAAAAACAATTATATTTTAAAGTAAACTGTCCTTTCTACCCTGGGCTAAATATTTAGTTAAAAGACAGAAAGAATAGAGAAAGAATTTCTTAGAAGAAATTGTGTAATGGAGAAGAAAAATTACAGAACAGACCCAGAAGCTTGAAAATAACTAGCAGAATAAAGTGATATTCTAATTACTATATGGCATCATATAAAACAGATGAAGTTCAATGGAAGATTAAGTTTATTTCTGGATTTATCACATGAAAATAAATGCTACATTTATTCAGAATATAATAATCAAAGCAAAATAGAATCCCCACCCCCAATAAAAATAAGTACAATACTATAGGCTGGAAACATAATACTTTAATCAAGTGTCCAATATTAGCTTCTCAAAACAAAAATATCTATAGTTAAACATTCAATTTATCATACAAAATATATATAAAAGCTCGATTTTAGTGTAGAAAAAGGAAGTTGCCAAAATATAATTTATTTACAAAAATGTATTCAATTTAATTTTTTTCAAGAGCTTCACCAATTAGTCGAATAGCAACACTCCTGCCTTCATCTGTTTGAATAATCAGCAAAGCTTCAAATGTGCCGGCCGACTGGGGTTTGAACTGTACTGGCATGTTGATGTAATGCTGGGCTCTGTGAAAGAAAGGAGAGAATCAGCAGTCCAGCAATAGCTTCACAGCAAGCAAACAGCTCCACCCAAGCAGTGTTCCCTGGCATACAGGTCAGCGCGTTTCTGACCAAAGAACTCAGTCAAGTTATATATTCAAATTATATAAAATTTCTCAACTCCTGGCTATTATTATTAAGAAGAAACTGGCACAAAGGTGAGAAAAATCTAATTCACACAGTAATGAATATATATTTTTTTGGCTTTATTGGAAAATAAGACGTTTGAATATACTGTATAGATAGAAAGCAAAGGTACATATAGAGTATAGCCAGACTTCTCATCTTCCTTTTAGCGCTTTTATTAGATGATGCTATTGAAGTGCCGTCGAATCAATTCTAACTCATAGTGACCCTGTATAGGGTTTCCAAGAAGCAAAGGGCACAAGGGAGAGAAAATCTAATTCAGATGTTAATATATATGTATATTTATATTCCTGGCTTCAGAAACCCAGTACAAGGTCGCTAAGAGTTGAAACCGACCTGAGGACACTTAACAACATCAAAAGCTTCAACATATACCTTTATTACCATGATAAAAAAAAAAAACAACCTATGCTGTACTTTATGATACCACTGATTTTACAGTTATTCTCTCTCCTAAGTGGAAATTTACAACTTGTAGACTTCCTCAGAGGGTTACTGTTGTTAACTGCCACAGAGTCAGTTCTGACTCACAGAGACCATATAGAGCAGAGGTGGGAATGTCCCACCCATGTATGGGCCGTATGAGGCCCAAGAAATCATTTGGTCTGGCCCTGCTAACGAAACTGAAGTTTCAGCCATCACATTGTTGTTGTAAAGTGCCATTGAGTCAGTTCCAACCCATAGCGACCCTATATAGGGTTTCTGAGGAGCAGCTGGTGAGCAGAACTTCATCTTTCTCCCAGAGTGGCTGGTGGACTTGAACTGCTGACCTTGTGGTTCCTAGTCTACTGCTTATCCTAAACAGCCACTGCATACTCCCGCCCCCAGCTCCCCATACACTCAGAGGATAGTGAGTCCTTTAGTCTCATCTCAGAGTTACATGTTCTAAAACTTGGCAACCTGAATGATACATACTTTTGATTCTAATGTCTTTACTCAAACACTTCAGTTTTATGTTAGTCATTTGGTGTACACCAGCACATTGGCCTAGATATTTACAAAAAAATTCAATTATCTGAAAACATTTTTCCTGGATTTAAGTAACTTTTTTTTTTTTAAAGTTATTTTCCCCAAATACATCATAATTTATTTCCCCATGTCAAAACTAGTGTGCATTTTTTAACATCAAATGAAATTTAGCCTTATGGCACTGTTGTTGTTAGGTGCCATCAAGTCAGTTCCAATTCATAGCAACCAGATTTGAACTAGATCTCGCCACTGTGGGATAATGCACTGGACCGTAAGGTCATTTGAACCACAAAGTGGATGGTTCAAACTCACCAGTCACTCTTTGGAAATCCTACACAGAGTTACTATGAAATTGACTCAATGGTACTTGACAACAATAACAACATGGAAGTATAGACAGAATGCTCCTTAGAAACTGGATGGTGAAATTTTGTCTCACATACTTTGGACATGTCATCAGGAGGGAACAGTCGTTGGATAAAGACATCATGCTTGATAAAATACAGGGTCAGCGAAAAAGAGGACAACCCTTGGCAAAAACCAAGTGGGAACCATGTCTGACTTCCCCTGGTTTCACAATAGGAAAAGAGAATTAAACTCAAAATCAGTCCAATTTGATTTTTATGAAGCAGAAGTCAGACATGCTTCCACTCACTCTACAACCTGCTTTACACTATTCTGACACCAACCATCCCTCCCACAGCATTCTCTGCTTCACATCTGGCTTCGATAATCCATTGCAATGGCCACACAGAACTCATGATTATAGGGTTGGTTTATTGGAGCTCTGGTAGCGTAATGGTTACGAATTGGGCTGCTAACCTCAAGGTCAGCAGTTCAAAACTACCAGCTGTTCCATGGGAGAAAGATGAGGCTTTCTGCTCCTGTAAAGATTTAAGCCTCAGTAATCTTATACAGGGTCGCTATGAGTCAGAACCAACTCCACAGCACACCTCCACCACAATAGGGTTTATTAGGAAAGTGAACAAGGTTCAATACAGGATCAAAAAACTACTCAGGATGCAGCAGTTCTCTAGTCAGGAACTCCTCTTCTCTGTGGCACTTCAGACACGCCTTGCTCTTGTCCTCAGCTTTCCAGCCATGTGGCTGCTTGACCTCTACCCTGCTTGGGCAAGTGATACAAAGCTCTTTTAGCCAGCTTGTGAATGCCCAAGGGACACATTCTACAAGCCAGTCTCCTGCCTATAGGCACTCAGCTTTACTCAGTCCATGGGCCTAGAGTCCAAAGCGGCTCTGTCTCTTCATGCCACCGCCTCTACTGCTGCTGATATTCTAGGTAGGGATCTAACGCTCCACTAATCCTCTTTCTTCTTGATAGTCCTGGGATGGTCCATTCCTGCTTCTGAGATGGCTCCTTTTAAACCTAGTTGAATGGCAAAACTAACTAATCCCAGCCTTAGAGTCCTGTATGCCTTATTTGCATGGTCCCACCAAATCACTTGGTGAGAATTAAGACATTGATAGAAAAGCCATATCAGATACATTCAAACCCTCAAACAAGATGGACTGACACAGTGGCTGCAACAATGGGCTCAAGCATGGAAACAATTGTGAAGATGGCATAGAATTGGGCAGTGTTTCATTCTGCTGTACACAGGGTCACTATGAGTTGGAACCAACTAGACAGCACCTAACAGCAACAACATGGAATAGTACCAGCAATAATTCCCAAGGCTATAATTCTTTGTAGAAGCAGAAAGCCTCATCTTTCTCCTGAAGTACAAATGGTGGGCTTAGATCACTGACCTTGTGGTTCACAGTGCAGACCAGCAAGATGAACATATCTATATAGCACCTTATCCTATTAAAAGCTCTGGTAGTGTAGTGCTTACAATTTGGGCTGCTAATCTCACGGTCAGCAGTTCAAAACTACCAGTGGTTCCAAAGGAGAAAGATGAGGCTTTCTGCTCCCATAAGATTTAGAGCCACAGAAACCCTACACAGGGTCTCTATGAGTTGGGACTGACTCACAGTACATAACTACCACAACTATTAAGAATTAGTTTTCTCTCTTTCACAAACACACACACCATACAAAGGGAGAGAGTAATAGCAAAGTATGTTGAGTACAATGGTGAGATCTAGTTCAAATCTATTTATAGTCAGTAATTAAATTTATATTGGAACCCTGATGTAGTGCTGTGTGTCCAGGGTAACACACTGGACCACAAGATTGGTTTGAGTCACAAGGTTGGCAATTCAAACTCACCAGCTGCTCCTTGGAAACCCTACACAGGGTTGCTGTGAGTCAGAACTGACTCAATGGCACTTAACAACAATAATTTTCTATCAGGAGTCTTGGTATGGTGCTGTAGGATAAGCACTGGACTGCTAACTGCAAGGATGGCATTTCAAACTCACCAGTTACTCCTTTTAAATCCTATGCAGGGTTGCTATGAGTCAGAATCAATTCTATGGCACTTAATAACAACAATTTTATAAAAAAGAAACTCAAGAACAAAAGTATATTAATAGAACCACAAACACGGAGTGACCTGACACTACTCCATTACTACACTGATTTCTCATAACAATTCTCTGCAGTCATTAGCATCATCAGGAGTTCTGGTATAGCACTGTGGGTTAATGCGCTGGACTGCAAAGTTGATTTGAACTGCAAGGTTGGTAGTCAAGCTCACCAGCTGCTCCTCAGAAACTCTATACAGGGTCACTGTGGGTTGGAACAGGCTCAATGGCATTTAACAACAACTAGCATCATCATCTCCATTTTACAAATGAGAAAAGTGAGGCTTAGAGATGAAGTCATTGATGTCTAGGATATATTTATTGTGCCTTACAAATTGTACCATTAGACCACTTTTCCTCGGAGGCAAAGGCTGAACTTAATTAGTAAGTATATAAATTTATGTTGTTGTTTTGTTGTTGCTGAGTGCTATCGAGTTGGTTCTGACTTGTAGCAACCCTGTACAGGGTTTCCGAGGAGTGGCTTGCTGACCTTGCAGTTCAAACCGACCTTGAAGTCCAGCACATTAACCCACAGTGCCACACCAGGACTCCTATAAATAATAACATTTTATAATATAAAATATGGAGAAAGGGTGGTAGGAGAGATGAAAGGAAGAGTAATAGATGAAGGAAATAGTCTTCAACCCAATCTTTTCAACATGAGAAGATATGGGTAAGCTTCTATTAGTTTTAGTAACTCAGTAAATGACAATCCTAGATTGTTTGCTCCAGTCCAAGTTCTAAGAGAATATAACATGATTTTGGAATAGTCACATGACAGTAAGATGAAAGATCTTACAATAATTAAATGGCCTAAATAAAATTTGAGTGCCAATGGTACTATGGATAAGCACTACACTGAGAACCACATAGCCAGTGGTTGAGTCCACCAGCTGCTTCCTGGGAGAAAGATGAGGCTTTCTGCTTCTGTAAAGATTTATAGCCTCAGAAACGCTATACAGGGTTGCTATGAGTCAGAACTGACTCGACAATACCCAACAACAACAATTAAACACTCAAAGTTAAAATTAAAATTATTACAGATGCCTATTATTAAATTCTAAATAACAGTGACAACCTAGCTTGAGATTTCAATTTCAGTGTGTATTATATGGGGGAAAAATCAGCAAGGACAACAGAAAAATGAAGTACTGATTGAAGGAAATTACAGAGCATTTAGACAGTGACACTGGAAAAACTCACAGTACAAGATTTCCCAAATAATCTCAGAAAGTTTTTGTTCTAATTAGTGAAAATTTAAATTCTTGAGTAGTAGTAAAATTAACATTTAAAGCAGAAATCACTCTAAAACTGAATCACAAAAGAATTCAGGCTTTATATGTTTACATGGCTGGGTAGTAAGAACCATAGGTTAAATATAAAACAATATTTAGAAGTCTGAATATGTTAAAGTCACTTGTGAATCATCATGAAACATTTTCCTTGTAGGTTCCTTATCTGATTGTCTTCCTTACGAACACCAGTGTGCTTGATGGGGGTGAAGATGAGGGAGATCTCTATGGTGCAAAAGCAAAGTCATACACTAAAACCAGGAAAATATTTTTATGTAATATAAACTCACCTCAAAGAATATTTTGAATGTTTGATATAGAAAGGCTCCCTGGGACTTAGAAACTTCAGCTGGAATATAGCAAGAAACATTTTAATGAAGTTATGCCAGTAAGTAATCTTAGCATGCATTCATTTAATTAAAGATACATTTTGTATATTTAGGTACAGCCACCAAACTAGATGAATGTTCTTGTAATGAAAACACATGTAAGTACAGTAAATGTGAATTTACTCCAGTTTTGACAAGAATAAATGTTATCCAGATAATAAATGTTATCTGGTAAAAAAGAAAGAAAAAACAAGAGAAAAAGAAAGTCCCATGTTTAAAATGTGAAAAGAAATCTTAATGATGTTCTACTTTCAAATAAAGAATCATGAACTTACAAGTTTCTTTAAAAATATAGTACTTTGTTGTTGTTAACTGCCATTGAGTTGGTTCAGACCCACAGCGACCCTGTAGGGTTTCTAAGGAGTGACTGGTGAGCTTGAACCCAACTTTGAAGTTCAAACTGACTTCGCAGTTCAGTGCATTAACTCACAGCATCACACCAGGACTCCAATATAGTAGTTAGGCATATTAAAATAAATTCATTACAACTTAAGTATTTTTATAAAACAAGTTTCTAATTATTGTTGCTAGTGTTAAGTGCCATTGACTTAGTTCTGACTCAGAGCGACCCTTTTCAGGGTTTCTGAGGCTGTAAATCTTTACAGAAGTGGAAAGCTTCATCTTTCCCCCGCAGAGTGGCTGGTGAGTTTGAACCGTCAACACTGTGGTTCACAGAGCAGTGCTTATCCTACACCAGTGCTCCTTCCTAATTATTCAGACATATAAAAAATAACAACAATTATGAGGATGGCACAGGACTTGGTAGTGTTTCACTCTGTTGTGCATAAGGCCCCTAGGGAGTCAGAGCTGGCTCAAAGACACCTAACAACAATAATCATCATAAAAAATATTCATAATCAAACCCATGAATGCACTTGTTTTTCCAATACTTACCAAGTGTGTAATAAAAGAGTTATTTCGCAAATTGACTTTTACTGTCCTTGAGTCCCCAACTGTAGTTGGCAGAAACATATATACATCTTCTGGGGCATAAACTCCACGGCGGGTTAGGTCAATCTGCCTGCTTTGGAAAATAAGTTTAAAAGTTAGCTATCTAAAATTTATAGCAATTTAAACTATTTTTATATATTAAATCATGAGCTACGCCTTAACTTGTCTATTCTCTCACAATGTTATTTTGTTTAAAATATCATTTTGTAGCTTAACAAATCATTTACAGTAATGACAATGAAATGTTTATATGAAGAAAACAGGAATATTCTTATCATAGGGGCTGGGTGGATGGTACCAAGTGAGAAGAACCAACAGCATCCTTTTGCACCCTTGTTTTTCTTAAAGACCAGGCTGTACTGAAAGTGGCCACCTTGGTTTAACACCCTTGTCGGGGTCTGACCTCGACATAGTTATGTTGTTCACGAGTGTTTGGTTCACGAGGAGGGGAGATCCAGTGGCGATAGGGATAGCGAAAGAATACACAGACAAACAGAAGAAGGGAGACAATGAGGCACCCCAAAGCCAGGGTGGATACATCACTGGTGGGCAGGCTTGGGACTACAGGCATCATGGCCTCTGCAGGCAGCAACTCACTGCCCTGCAATCTTTACTGCATGCCTTCCAACCCGTAATGCACACCTGGGGAGGCCCGTGCCTCTGTTTTATTTAGGGGAGGAGCTTCACACCAAGCTGGGAGGGACTTAGGCAAGGTACAGCTAACATCAGTACTTTTCCAGACATTCAGGTAACTTTACATCGTACTTTGGTGGTTCAAATCCCAGGCCAGCAACTTGGATTCTCAGGCCCAATTAACATATCTATAGCCTCTGAACTCAGTTGGGGGAAGGTGAGAGTTCTGCAGGAGACGCCCAGGTGAATGGGCTGCACCTGGAAAAGGGATTAGGGAGGATGGGTTCTTTGTCTATAGAAAAAAGAACCGAGAAGTAGCTAAGATATTTTTAGTTAATCCTTTTGGAGAAAGGCTTGACCTTTCAACTTTTAGTCTTAGGCTTTAGGAAAATATCACATTTATCTGTGGATTATCAAAGGCTCCGTGTATTAATTTAATATATATAACTGAATATTATGATGAAAGCAATTTGCCATTAACTGCCAGTGGCCTCATTTGTTAACACTCGGCCCTATAGGGCCTCGAACCTCTGACCAGTCTTACACGGTCCGCAACACACCCTGACCTCTCACACTGCAATCCAGTGCTGTTCTTAATTTTCACAGGGACACATACTGCTCTGATAACCTGATTCACAAAGTGGAAATTTCCTACTGCTGTGCCCTTCCTGATACAACACTGCTGATTCTGTTAATTAGCCATCCTTAGCCTTCTTTGAAGTCTCATCCTCTATGACCTGACCTCTCAAGAGTGTTCCACCAGGTCTCATGTAATCTTAGCATGCATTCATTTAATAAAATAAATACTCCAACTGCTCACGTGACACTCTCCTCACTCCAATCACTATACTGCCAGAGGATTCAGTGATCTTCACACCGATATGACTCCCAGATATATATCTTAGCTCAGATTTAGCCTCTGGGCAACATACCTATATATTTAATCACTACACAATTACCTTCTATTTCTCTTGCTGTCTCAAAGATATCTCAGACTCTACAAATAAAAAAAACTAAGCTCATGTTCTTTTTCCTCAAACCTAATCCTTTCCGGTCTCAGGGATGATACCTAGAAGCCAACCTTGACACCTTTTCCTCCCATGTCTCTTTATCCAACTCACCAGATTTCTTTTCTATTTCTACTTTTTAATTTCTCACAGCTCTCCATTTCTCTTCTTCCTCTTTAAATACTTCCTTAGCCCTAGAAGTTAAATAACCTTCTACCTTCATCTTTCTAATTAGTCCATCTACATCCAGAAGGATGTTTCTAAATACTAAAATTGGATCACATCACTCAATGGTTTCCAATAGTTCGTAAGATAAATAGGCAACTCAACCTAACATACAAGGCCTTTCTTGGTCTGGGCTCTGACCACTTATTTCTCTAGCCTCATTTATACTACTCTTTCCTCCCATTTGCTGTGCTCTACACACATGATCTTCTGGTCCTTCATGAGCACATAAATGCTACTGCCATAGGTCCTTTACACAGGTGGTCTCAGGGAAGTTCTTCCAGATACCAAAGACCAAGCTCTTCTGTCATGTTTCCCCTTGTTGTTGTTGTTGTGAAGTGCCAGTGAGTCAGTTCCAACCCATAGTGACCTGGCATAGAGTTTCCTAGGAGTGGCTGATGAGACTGAACTGCCAATTTTGCGGTTCAAACTGACTTTTCAGTCCAGAGCATTAACCCACAGTGCCACACCAGGATTCCTTGTTTCCCCTTAGCAGTGCACTATTTAGTTTTGCACTTATCACAGGTCTCAGGAAACATTTTCAAGAGATTTTAGACTGATGCTGAGGCTCCTTCTCCATGAAAGTCAAGACTACACTGGCTTTGCCTGATCTTTGATCTGTAGGACCTGGAGTCGGCATTTAATAAGTAGAGATGAATACTGAATAATTAGCATAGAGTGTGTAAGGTAAGAAAAACTTTAAAAAATAACTAATTTATTCCAAAATTTATTTTCCAATAAGTCACTCTTTAGTACCAATAGATTCCACCAACCATGGATTTCCCCCAACCATAGGTTTCACTATTCACATATGGAAAATATTCAGGGGGGCAAGGAAAGCAATTAAGTGATCAAAGTAATCCCTCAATGGCTAAGAGTGGCTGGTGAGCTTGAACCACCAATTTGCAGTTTGAACTGAATTTGTAGTCCAGCGTATTAACGCACAGCACCACAACAGGACTCTAACTTTGTTTTAGGTATTATACAATCAGCTACAGATAATTAAATGCAAATACTACACTATTTTACATAAGGAACTTGAACATCCTCAGATTTTGGTATCCAAGATTGGGGGTGAGTCTATCAATACACTGATGATACTGAAGGATGACTATATTTCTATTAGAAAACAAAAGACCATTTACATATATTTTTCTTCAGAGCATCCCCCCCCATATATTAGAATTATCTAAATTATGCCTAGATATTAGCCATTTAGGAATTACAGGAAACATTTTCATTAGGAAAAATACTGAAATACACATTTTTTAATGTTTTAAATATGTTTGTGATTAAAATCCACTCATTGCTTGTGAATATGTAAAATGGTACCAACACAAAGTTAAACACACTTTTTTTTTAATGTTTTACTGTGAATTATGTGATAGTTTACATGGGAGAACATTAGCTTTACATTCATCCTATCGTATATTGTTTCATTGCCATGGTTACAATCCCCTCCTTGCATCATCAACCAACCAAAGGGAATATCCTGCAAGCCTTCCCCCGCTGGTCGTCAGCACACAGCCCCTCTCCCTCTCTGGGTCTAAAGTCCCCAGCTGCTCCATCTCTCCATGTTATCATCTCTGCCTCCATCTCTGGTGTCACTGCTTCTCTGGGTAGGGTCCCACTCTCTGCTCTTCTCCTTTGATGGTCCCAGGGACCTCCACTCCTAGACTGCAAAGTCAATCACTCCCCTCTTTTGCTATACAACGTCTACCTTTACATTTCCAACCCTCACAATCAGTCCTGGTAACAATTATTCACTATTATATCACAAGAGACCTATCCATATCTCCTTTCATCAGCCCTGCCTAGGGAGATTGGATACTACTCAGTGGTGATTCTACCTTCCACTACACCCTCTGGATCTAGGCTCCCTCTTGAAGCCAGTCACTTCTTGCCTTTGTAACCCCCCATTTTGAGTAGCCTATGTCCAAGCTGCCCATGCTTGTCTACTCTGTGTATGGAGTGGGTGGGAATGATCCTCGCTGTAAAGATTTGTTCCCTCTTTTGAGCTACTGCATCCATAGGTGTAGGTCAAGTTCATCAGATTGTATGGGATTACTCTTTTTTTCCTCTTCTTTCTTCTTCTAGTTGAAGCTCTGATCATCCAGTCACTGAAGCCAGGTCAAGTGGGTATTATCTACAAGTGTGGGTGCTCTTATACATATTCCCTCTCTTCTTATCAGCTGGATGCTTCACTTTCCACTCTAGTCCTCTAAGGCTATGCCACTGACTCTGGGCCCAAAAGTCTCCAGGTCTTGTCACATGCTGGCTTACCAGGTCGCCACCCGGGTTCACAAGAGTCTATTGAACGTTGTAGGGCTTAGCTCGCAGCCTCACTGCTGTTTTTCCCTCATTTCCCCTTATTGGGGAAATGAGGGAAACGTGGTAACGTGGTCACCAATCAGAGCATGTATTACTATTGAGTCTTAGTCTTGGAAGGGGGTTTGCCCTGAGAGGACCCGACCACTTGGGGGAGCAGCTTGCTTGTTCTTGTAATAATTATTTGGACTGCCTTTATTGTTTTGTATTTTTCCTGTTGGTCTTTCTTTCAAGAAGTATCTACTGTTCTCCTAGAAGCTCAAGGCTGGTCTGCTTGTCCTTTCAAGTGGAAATTTCTCACCTCAGAAGATTCTGGATGCTGTTCAGGATTCCACCTATGGTCTAAATGCAGAGGCTCCGTAGGAAGCCTCCTTCACTGGGCATGCTGTAGACCCATTTTCGGTATTCCAATCAGTTATAGGCAGAAGACTGACTTACAAGCTTTCTATGGTGATATTTCTGGCTATTCCTTTCTCTCCTCCTCAAGGTTAAACACACTTTCACTTTCACTCAGAAAACCTATTCTTAGTTATGTTTACTGTCCAGCAAATTAAGACTTGTATCTACAAAATTATACATACAAAGTTTAGATTCATTTACTTTTTTTTTCCTTGAGAATTGAGTGAAGGTTTACAGACAAGATCAGCTTTACATACACTTTGTTTCATATCAATGATTACAATCCCCTCCATGTAACAACAGTTACCCCACTTTCTCCCTGTGGTTCCTATTTGTAGCCCATCAAGCTTCTTACCCCTTCTCAACTTTGTCCTTATGAAAATGTTGCCCTTTTGATTTTGAACATTTCTTTTAATATGAAAACCTTAAGTTTTTACAATAATGGTCTCATACAATATTTGTACTTTTGTGATTCACTAAATTCACTTAACACAATGCCTTCCAGGTTCATCCATGTAAAGAGGTGTTTCACAGATTCATCAGTATTCTTCAATATTGCTTCGTATTCCACTGTGTGTATGCACCAGTTTGTTTATCCATTTTTCCATTGATGGGCACTTAGGCTGCCTCAATCTTTTTGCTATTGTGAATAGTGCTGTGATGAACATTGATGTACATACCAACTTAATTCTTCATAAAGTAACTCTGGTGATACAATGGGTTAAACACTGAGTTGCTAACCAAAAGGTCTTTGGGTCTAACCCACAGCTCCTCCATGGGAGAAAGATGAAGTAGCCAGCCTGCTTCCATAGAGAGTTGTTTGTTGTTGTTATGTGCCATGGAGTCCATTCCAACTCATAGCAACTCTGTACAGGGTTTCAAAGGCTGTAAACCTAGGCTCAAAAATTCTATTGAGCAGTTCTCTTCTGTCCTGTATACAGGAACACTAAGAGTTGGAATTGACGCAACAGTAGTGTGTTTGGTTTGGGGATTTTAATTCATAATAGCCCCAAACCACAAGTTAACTAAATGTCAACTGGAAAGTAAACAAAAGTATTGATATAAAGGGATAATAAATATTATAGGTACACTCAACAACACACTGTGTTTAATGGCACCTATTATATTGCATGAAAACAAACAAAAAGATATATACTTACATGTACTTTAAGCAAATGTTGGGGTAGGGTTGGAGGACTGCTTGCAAAGGAATGGAGAGAATACTATAGATTTTGATGGTGCTAGTGTGGTCCTGGTGTGCTGCTGTGAGTTAATGCACTAGACTGCAAAGCTATTTGAACTGCAAGGTCAAAGGTTCAAGCTCACCAGCTGCTTCTCGGAAACCCTATACAAGGTTGCTATGGGTCAGAACCAACTCAATGGCACTTAACAAAAACAACAGCAACAACAGTGTGGTATGGAGCTATAGGATCAGCACTGGATTGTGAACCATAAGGTCAGCAGCTCAAATCCACTAGCTGGTCGTTGGAAACCCTATTACAGGGTAGCTATGAGTCAGAATCTACTCAACAACACTTAACAAACAGTGGTAGCCTATATAAAGACATTATTTTACTGAATTATACCTCAATAAAGTACTGAGAAAAGAATGACAAAAATAGCATACCCTAGTGTAAGTGCAGGAATCTCAGATACAGCTTGTCTTCGGGGCTTAACGGAATGATCTATCTTAATGAGGGTGTCTGTGGAAATGCGTGCACATTCAGGCTCACTTTCTGCTTTGACACTCTGTACAGAGAAATCATAGAGCAAGGGAAGAGAAATAAACACTCGAGGAAAACATACGCACATTTACCCACTTGAAATGTACTATTTCCTTTAAAATGTTCCAAAAGGAAACAAAATTTTTCAGTATGTCACATCAAAAACCCTATACATTCTATTACTCAGTTTGTTACACATACTAACACACACACACACCTTACATAATTCTGTTAAACCAAGTTTATAAGTTGTGTGAACAACAGAGTCAAAACTCAGACCTCAAACATGCCAGTCAATAAAGCAACAACAAAATTAAGATTATAGGTTATTGAGCAAAAATATTAAAAATTAAACAATACAAGAAAAACATCCTGCAATTTCATGATAGTTTTTCATGCCATTGTCACACAGTGATTTTAACAAATATGCAATGATTTGATTTGAGGGCAACACCCACCTGTCCAGAGAGCTGGAACCTCAGTGTGTGCTTCATGTGGGGCTCTTTCAGAGGGTGACACTCAACATCCCAAAACTGAGCATAATTCCCTCTATCTCTGGGCAAAAATACGATGGAGACCTACAAAACACACATCCAGGGATTCTAGACAGTGAAACATACATACATGTAGCTAGATGACCAATACAAGAGTTTGGCATGTAAAAGTTAAAGGGATTCACCATGCCACTAATTGAAAAACAATGATTCTATTTGAATGGTCTATTTCTAATAGACTTAATATTATGTTGTTGTTAGGTGTCATCAAGAGAGTTCTGACTCATAGCAACTCAAACTTATATACAACAAAAGAAAACACTGCCCAGCCCTGCATCATCCTCACAACCATTCTCAAGTTTGAGCCTACTGCTGCTGTCACTGTGCCAATCCATCTTGTTGGGATTATTCCTTTTTTTCGCTGACCTTCCACTTCATATAGTGTGATGTTCATCTCCAGGGACTGGTCCCTCCTGATAATATGTCTGAAATATGAGACACAAAATCTCTCCATCCAGGCTTCTACGGAACATTCTCACCGCATTTCTTCCAATACAGATTTGCTTGTTCTTCTAGAAGCCCATGGTACTTTTAATATTCTTCTCCAACACCATAACTCAAATGCATCAATTCTTCTACAGTCTTCCTTATTCACTATCCAACTTTCAAATGCATATGAGGCCATTGAAAATACCATTTCTTGTGTCAGGTGCACTTTAGTACTCAAACTGACATCTTTGCTCTTCAATACTTTAAGGAGGTCTTGTGCAGCAGATTTGCTTAATGCAATATGTCATTTGATTTCTTGACTGTTGTTTCCATGAGTGCTGATAGTAGATCCCAGCAATGAAGTCTTTGACAACTTCAATCTTTTCTCCATTTATATTGCTTATTGGTCCCAGTGGTGAGGACTCTCTTCATATAATCCTTAGATTATTTGCTCAGTATACAAATTGAATAAGTATGGCAAAAGAACACAATCCTGCCGTACACCTTTCCTGATTTTAAACCATTCAGTATAACCTTGTTCTGTTTGAAAAAACTGCCACTTTCTTGGTCTAGGTACAGGGTCCTTGTGAGCACAATTATTAGCAATGTTGTCCATAGCTTGTCATGATCAATAAAGCATGGTAAACTTCTTTCTGGTATTCTTACTTTCAGCCAAGATCCATCTGATGTCAGCAATGATATCCCTACCTCCACAACTTTGCTGAATCCAGTCTGAACATCTGGTAGTTCCCTGTCAATGTACGGTTGCAACGATTTTTAAATTACCTTTAGGAAAATTTCACCCACAGGTGCTATTAATGATATTGTCTGATGATTTCCACATTCTGTTGGGTCACCTCTCTTAAGAATGGGCACACATTCTTAAGAGGAAGGGCTGGCTGGTCTGAAGTTTAGAAAGATGTCTGAACTCTTGAGCCTCAGGCAATGACCCTGGGGGCTAAGGCTGAGAGTGAAGTGGCCAGCTAGCCTGAAATGTACAGAGATATGCATGAACTCCCAAACTTGACCTAGTTTGTATGGCTAATTGACCAGAACTCGAACTGAAGAAGATAAAGATGTCTGATACTAAGAACAAGTACAAAATTGCTACAATTTGGCAAACTAGACTTTTGTCTATAAATGCAGTGACTCAAAATCCTAACTAGAATGGAAGGAATTCCTTATATCAAGGAAGGTATCAAGGTTCAACCTTGTTTACTCAGTGTACTAGGTTGATTTGGATGAGAAATTTAGACATTGGCTATCAAAAATGGGGGAGGGGGGGACAAAGGCATGAAGTGGCTGATGTACAAGCTTTCATGAGTGTGCTTAGTTGTAGAATGAGATGAGTAAGGTAGAATCCCCACTATATAGTTTCTCTCTTTCCCTGTTGGATCTGGTGAAAGGGATGAGGGACAACAGTGACAGGATTTCATGACTCAATTGTGAATAATTGTTAGCAGGATTCAGTGTAATTTGCTGAATGTAGAGCTAAAGATCTTGTCTGTAAGCCTTCACCCAATTCATAATAAAAAGTAAAAAAAAAAAAGAATGGGCATAAATATTGAACTCTTCCAATCAGCTGGCCAGGTAACTATTTTCCAAATATCTTGGCATAGATGAGTGAATGTCTCCAGTGCTGCCATCGTTTGCTGAAAGATTTCAATTTGTATTCCATCAATTCCTACAGCCCTGTCCTTGGTTAATTTCTTCAGTGCACCTTAGACTTTTTCTTTCAGCACCATTTGTTTTTGCTACAGTGACTCTTTGTATTCCTTTCATCTTCTTCTTTTTTTAATGTTTTATTGTGAATTATGTGAGAGTTTACATGGGAGAACATCAGTCTTACATTCATTCTATCCTATATCGTCTCATTGCCATGGTTACAATCCCCTCCATGCAATCCTTCCCCCGTACCCCCAGGTCTTCAGCACACAGTCGCTCTCCCTCTCTGGGTCTAAAGTCTCCAGCTGCCCCATCGCTCCACGTCATCATCTCTGGCTCCATTTCAGGCATCAATGCTTCTCTGGGTAGGATCCGGCTTTCTGCTCTTCTCCCTTGATGGTCCTAGGGACCTCCGCTCCTAGACTGAAAAGTTAGTCACTCCCCTCCTTGCTATAAAATATCCACCTTTAAATTTCCAACCCTCACAAACAGTCCTGATAACAATTATTCACTATTGTATCACAAGAGACCAGTCTGCATTTCATTGCATCAGCCCCGGCTAGTCAGATTGAATACTACTCACCAGAGATTCTACCTTCCTCCAGGCCCTCTGGATCTAGGTTCCCTCTTGAAAGCTTGTAAGCGAGTCACTTCTTGCCTTTGTAGCCCCCCACTCCCCATTTTGGGTAGCCAATATCTGTGTTACCCATCCTGTCAACCCTGTATACCAAGGGGTGGGGATGATTCTTGCTGTAAGGACTTGTTCCCTCTTTTGAGCTACTGCTTCCATAGGTGTAGGTCAAGTTCATCAAATTGTATGAGAACACTTTTTTTTTTTTTCCTCTTCTTTTTACTTCTGGTTGATCTCTGATCATCCAGTCATTGAGGCCAGGACAAATGGGTATTATCTGCAAGTGTGGGTGTTCTTATGCATATGCCCTCTCTCCTTAACAGCTGGACACTTCACTCTCCACTCTAGTCCTCTGAGGTTATGTCACTGACTCTGGGCCCAAGAGTCCCCAGGTCTTGCCACACTGCTTGCCAACCAGGTCTTCATCCGGGTTCACAGAAGTCTATTGAACGTTGTAGGGCTTAGCTCACCACTTCATTGCTGTTTTTCCCTCACTTTTGATGCTTTCTGCATAATTCATTATTTTGTCCATAGAATCCTTAAACACTGAAAGTAAAAACTTGAATTTCTCTTCAGTTTTTATCAGCCTAAGCAATGTTATTCTTTGGTTTTTCTAACTCTAGGTCCTTTGTACATTTCAATTATTATATGTGACTTTGTATTATGGAGTGGCCCTTTGAAATTTTCTGTTCAATTCTTTTCTCCAAACTTGTTTCTTCCATTTGCTTTAGCATCTCTACACTGGAGTTCCAGTTTCAGAGTCTTTTTTGACATCCAATTTGGACTTTTCCTTCTTTCTTAATGGCCTTTGTGCTTTCCTCCTATATGATGTTCTTGATGTCATTCCACAACTCTTGTGGTCTTCAGTCATTAGTTATCTAATGCATCAAATCTATTCTTGAGATGATTTCTAAAGTCAGGTGGGATATGGTCAAGGTCATATTTTGTCTCGCATGGCTCTCATTTTAATTTTCTTCAGCTTCAGCCTGAACTTACATAGGAGCAAACTGATGGTCTGTTCCACAGTCTGCCTGTGACCTTGTTTTGGCTGATGATACGGAGCTTTTCCACCATCTCTTTCCATAGCTGTAGTCAATTTGATTTCCATATATTCCGTCTGGTGAGATTCACGTAGACAGTCATCTCTGAGGTTGTTTAAAACAGATATTTGCAATGAATACATCATTGGTATAGCAAAATCCTATCATGCGATCTTCAGCGTTGTTTTTATCACCAAAGTCAGATTTTCCAACTATTGAACCCTCCTTTGTTTCCACCCTTGGCATTCCAATCACCAATAGTTATCAGTAAATCTTGACGGTATGTTTGATCAATTTCAGACTGAAGAAGCTGGGAGAATTCTTCAATTTCATCATTACTGGCTTTGGTGGTTGGTGCATAAATTTGGATCATAGTGGTATTAATTGGTCTTCCTTGAAGGTGTATAGATATTATTCTATCACAGGCAGCATTATACTTCAAGATAGATCTTGAAATGTTCTTTTTGATGATGAATATAAGGACATTCCTCTCTAATTTATCATTCCTGGCATAAAAACCATGTGACCATCAGATTCAAATGGCCAATACCAGTCCATTTCAGCTCACTAATGCCTAGGATATCGATCTTTATGGGTTCCATTTCATTTTTGACAACTTCTAATTTTCTTAGATTTGTATTTTGTATATTCCATGTTCTGATTATTAATGGATGTTTACAGCTGTTTCTCCTCATTTTGAGTTGTTTTCTAACAGTAAATGAAAGTCCCAACAATTTTACAATTTTGCATCATCACAGTCAACTCTACTTTGAGGAGGCAGCTCTTCCCAGTCCTATATCTGACAATATTCGGGTGTTATTCATAATGTTTTAATATTTAATATTACGGTGCTATCTGACAGTGTTCCACTGTATTCAAAACGTTTCCAGTAGTTAAACATTCAAAATATTCCATCTCTCCTTCTTAGTCTATTAGTCTGGAAGCTCAGTTGAAACCTGTCCACCATGGGTGACCCTGGCTTGATATTTAAAATACTAGTGGTACAGCTTCCAGCAGTGAAGCACCACACAAGCCCCCACAGTACAGCAAACTGACAGACAAGTGGCATATACATGGTACGAGTTTCCTAATTACAGCAATTTAGTTTCCTGTTTGACAATTTCTGCAAAAGGGGTTCAGTGACATTAGTAACATTCTTTATAATGTATCCGCATTATCTTTTATCACATTCTAGTTGTTCTGTTTCCAGTACTCTAGTTTCCCTGGCCCCAGTCTTCTCTCTTTGCTTTTGAATAATTATTGACTCCTAGGTCTTATATAAATGTTTTTTTAATAGATTACTGTCCATACTCACAGGCAATATCCTTTCTTTTGTGTAAACACAGTATGATTTTTTTTTTTTAATATGGTGTGTTTTGATGTTTCAGTCAATTGACAATATTTTCATAGCAAGACTTCATTGCTATGGGAAGCAATGTATTGATTTACATTCTGAAACATCTTCTCTTATGACAGACTTTGAATAGCACTAGTCCTATGAGTCCTATGTGGTACTATAGATAAGCACTGAAATGCTAACAACAAGGTGTCTCCCTAGGATAAGAACTGGATGGAAACCACAAAGTTGGTGGTTCACGTCTACCAGGTGCTCACGGGAGAAAGATAAGGCTTTCTTAAAGATTCACAGCCTTGGGATCGACTCCTTAGTGACCCCATATAGGGTTTCTGAGGCTTTAAATCTGGTGGGTTTGAATGACCTTGCAGTTAGCAATCCAGCGGTCATCCTACAGCTCCACACTAGCACTCCATAAGGCACTTCACCACCACCAGCTGCTCCTCAGAAACTCTAGACAGGGTCGCTGTGAATCAAAACTGATTCCATGGCACTTAACAACAGGTACAACAGTTGGCATGGAACCAAACATGGCACTCCTGACTGCCTAGCACCAGAGTCTCACCAAATGACTGTAAGAAAATCTCTAAACTCACCTTCTGAATTCCATGGCTTTTCAACATGCCAGAAACAGGAGAACATCTGAATGCTGCATAGGTAGCTCGAAAAACATCCTCACTATCATCAACTCCCTAGAGAGGAATAATTTAAACAATCAAATTAGAAACACACAAAAAAATTTCAACTAAATGAGTTGGCAGAAAAATAAACAATAATATCAACAAATGCTTACATTCAATTTTTTAAATATTCTGTGAAAAATTTAAACATTAAAACGAGTATATTTCAGACAATTTTTACTGACCTTGACATAAGGTGGAGCAAAAGATGATAGATGCCACTTTACTTCCGTGTCACCACAATTCTCAAGTTCCACATAATTTTCTAAAATGAACATATATATATAACAATTCAAACAAATCTCAGAAAGAAAAGTAAATAAGTATGATAATATTGCTTTCCTATGATGATAAGAGACCTATCATTAGATGCCTATCATTAGATAAAGAAGTTCAATGAGAACTATAGGATTTTCTAATAAATCAAATTTGACAGCCTATTTTGGAGTTTAGTCTAAAAGCAATGAAAAGTTACTTCACAACTTAAGCAAGGGGGCAATAAGATGATTCACAGTTTTAAAGAATTACTGGCTGCTAAGTAGAAAAGGGGAGATCCTGGTGTGGTGCTATAGGACACACACTATACTGCAAGGTCAGTTCTGTACTGCAAGGTCGGTGGTTCAAACTCACCTGCTGCTCCTGGGAAACTGTATACAGGGTCTCTATGAGTTGGAACTGACTTGATGGTACTTAACAACAACAACATATAGAAAAAGGAGTCCTGGTGTGGCACTGTAGGATAAGCACTGGACTACTAAATTAAAGGTCAGTGTTTCAAACCTACTAGCTGCTCCCTGGTTATGAGTTGGAATCGAGTCAACAGCATTTAACAAAAACAAAAATGTAGAAAAGAGATTCCAAGGGGGAAAGAGTGGACAGAGTCCTAGTGTGACGCTGCGGGTTAATGAGCTGGACTGCAAGTTGGTTTGAATTGCAATGTTGGCAGTTCAAACTCACTAGCCACTTCTCAGAAACCCTATACAGGGTTGATATGAATTGGAACTGACTCGACGGCACTTAACAACAAGAAGAGTAGAAAAAGAGAGATCAGATTTGAAACTAAGATATAGAATATAATGCAACTGTTGGTGATGACACAGAGTTCAGCATTTAACTATGAAAGGAGGGATTTGGGCTGAGTGGAAGACAAAAATGAATGAAAAGACCCAAGAGCCAGAGATCTCAAATCCTTTCTAACAGGCAGGCCCTACATTTAATTCATATCATTTAGGCTAAGTCATCAATCAAAAATATTAAAAAATTTAAAAACTCTGGAAAGAGAAGGAAAACAAATTCATCTTTGAAAAACTACCAATATTAGCCAAAATCTGAGTGTTTACTAAATGACAAACATATAAGCTTTCCATATATAATCCCATTTAATCTTCAAAGCTCTATGTGGTGGGTTTTAATTACAAAAAACATTTTACAAGTGGGAAAACTGAATAAATCTATTTATCCTGTGTAGCAAAGTTGGTGGTTCAAACCCACCAGTTACTCTGTGGGAAAAGATCAGGCTGTCTGTTCAGAAACTCTAAGAAGCAGTTCTACTATGTCTTACAGAGTCGCTATGAATCAGAATCAACTCTATAGCAATGGGTGGATGAGTATAGTTTCAAAGTCACATCAGTAAGTAAAAGAGTCAGGCTTCACTTCTTTCCTGTCTTCTTCAACTACTAACTTGTTGGCAATTCTGGTCAAAGATTTGTTGTGAGTTGTGGAGGAAGAGTTCTGATCCTCAAAGAAAACCTCAGATTTACTGTTAAGTGCTGTCAACTCAGTTCCGACTCATAGTAACCCTGAAGAGGGTTTCCAAGGAGCAGGTGGTGAGCTTGAATCTTGAGATTTACACTGACTTTGCAATCCAGCATATTAACCACAGTGCTACACCAGGACTCCTAAAATTTACTAGTTACTAAATGCCTAGGCTTAACATTTCCAAATTTCCAAGCTCCCTTCAAACTACTCCATTATGGCCAATAACTGCCTGGTTTTCTCCTGAAAGAAGGGAAATTTGTACTGGTTAGGGCTAAGAATACAGTATTAGACTCAAATTATCAGTTGTTGTTGTTGTTAAATACCGTACAGTCAGTTCTGACTCATAGTGACCCTGCACAGTGTTTCCGACGCTATAAATCTTTATGGGAGTATAAAGCCTTAGCTGTTGTTAGGGGCCATCAAGTCTATTTTTGACTTATAGTGACCCCACATAAAAGAGTAGACCGACCCATAATGTTTTCTAGGCTGTAATTTCTATGGGAACACATTACCAGGTCTTTTTCCTGCTGAATGGGTTTGAAACTCGAAGATTTCAGTTAGCAGCTGAGTACTTAACCATTGAGCCATCAGGACTCCTTAATTTATAAGTAAATATATAAATTACAAGGAGCCCTGGCACTGCAGTGGATTACAAGTGGCATTACTAACCATAAGGTCAGAAGTTCAAATCTACCATCCCCAGCGCAGGAGAAAGATGCAGTTTTCTGTCTCCACAAAGATTTGCACAACCATAGCACACAGCCATAATCATCATGATTAGTTCTATGATATAATACCTGAAGATTCACCAGGCTTTGTTACAGGAAAAGTAACAATCTTGTTTCTTATTTCCACTTTAGTGGATGGTGATTGAGTCACTGATTTTACCAGGTGACGGACAGAAAGCTCAGATGCTGAGGGAAGCATTCCAAATGGACTGGAGGCCAAAAGATGGAAAGGGCGCTCTTCTTGGGTCAAATCTTCTTGAATTTGAACTTTCACAATTTTCTAAAATATGTCAGATAAAGAGGTAAGGCATAAATTTAACTATCACTAAAAAAAAAAAAAAAAGACAATTCATACTAATAAATCATGGTAGAGAAAATAATATCAAACAAATGAATACTGATTATCTTGATTTTAGAAATTAAAGCTTATTTAGTTCTCAAACAAAATGACTATTTTAACTTTCCGTCCTCCCCCTAACTCTCTGCTTTTTCAATAGCAATGACTTCTAGGCCTCATCCCACATCCAAACCAAAAGAATTATTCAGATCATGAAAGGAAGAGCTCTACACTAAGTGCTATATTTAATAAACCTAGTTGGGCTGAAAGAACAACAGATATACTACACAGTCATCTGATTTATGAAATGTAACTGGTAATAAGAATCAAACTACATAAATTAAGGCTGCAAAACAGGAGAATGTTGCTAAGTTTTTTTGTTTTATAAGTTTTAATTACCTTCTGTCCATTGTCACAGTGTATATAGATCAATCCACTCCATGGGAACATTGAATGCTTTGTGGATAATGAGGAATGAGGACTCACAAGAACTTGTAGCTTACTCCTTAAAAAAAGAATTTAATCATGAAAACCAAGAAAATACTATTTGAGTAGCAATAAGCAACCACAAGAGTTATAAATATTGTTTTGCCAATGACTATTTCCTTATCACTAGGAAAGACCAGAAAGCAGTCTTTGGGTACTAACAACCTCCCGACAAAATATCTCCACATTTTTTATCTCACCTCAGTACTCTAAATGGCTAACAAAAAGTTTAATGCTATGAACCCATGAGTCTAAAGGCAAAACTCACGTGAAAACAAAACACCATTTAAAAAATTCAAAAGAAAAATTTCCAAAGTAAAAGACTTGATATTACAAAGCTCCTAGTCATTTGACCACAATAAATGGTAGGTTCTATTGAAGACATGGAAAAGAAATGAAGAAAAATTATCTGTTTCTTGATTAAAACAGCAACAAAAACAAACCAGTTGCAGTAGATTCAATTCCAACTCATGGCAATCCCCTATCTGTCAGAGCAGAACTAAGTTCCATAATTTTCAATGGTTTTTCAGAAATAGATTGCCAGGCCTCTTCTGAGGTGATTCTGGAACTCAAACTGCCAACCTTTGTTTAGTAGTTCAGTGTTTAGTGTTAAGTACCACACAGGGACTCCTATTGCTTAACTGAAAGGCCAGCTGCTCAAAACTCACCAGCCACTCATTCCTCTTCAGAAATCCCATATAGGATCACTATGAGTCAGAACCAACACAACAGCATTTAATAACAACAATAACATATTTTTATGCTCATGGCTCTCTTTTTAAGAACCATGGGGTGCCAAAGAAGAGTTTGAAATGTAGATGATGTTATTAAATTTGTGCTTTAAAAATAATCATCATTTACAAAAAAGTTTTTGGTACATGTCAAAAAAAAAAAAAAAAAAAAAAGTACAGTATTTGTAGCCTGGGACTCAAATATACTTGAAAACCAGTGTTCAATGCAGTTCATTCTCAATAGTCAAAAATAACTCATTTTGAAGTGAGTGGTTAATGAAGCAAGATTGTTGTTGTTGTCAGGTGCCATCGAGTTGGAACTGATTCATAGCAACCCCATGCACAGCAGAATGAAACAATGTCCGATCCTAGGCCAACCTCCCTACCGCTGCCATGCTTGACGCCATCAATGATGTCACCTGGCTGATCCATCTCGTAGGGGGTCTTCCTCTTTTTTTCTGACTCTCCATCTTACCCAGCATGATATCCTTCTCCAGTGACTGTTCCCTCCTGACAATATGTCCAAAGTATGAGAGACGAAGCTTAGCCATCCTGGCCTCCAAGGAGCACTCTGGCTGCACTTCTTCCAAAACAGATCTATTGGTTCTTTTGGCAGTCCATGGCACTTTTAGTATTCTCCTCCAACACCACAACTCAAAAGCATCAATTCTTCTATGATCTTCCTTATTCACTGTTCAGCTTTCGCATGCATATGAGGTTATTGAAAATACCATGGCTTGGGTCAGGAGCACCTTAGTCCTCAAGCTGACATCTCTGCTCTTCAACACTTTAAAAAGTTCCTGTGTAGCAGATTTGCCCAATGCAATAAATACATCGTCTGATCTCTTGACTGCTGCTTCAACGAGTGTTGATAGTTGATCCAAGAAGAATGAAGTCCTTGACAACTTCAATCTTTTCTCCGTTGATAAGAATGTTGTTTATGGGTCCAGTGGTGAGGATTTTTGTTTTCCTGACATTGAGATGCAACCCATACTGAAGGCTGTGCTCTTTGATCTTCATCAGTAAATGTTTTAAGTCCTCTTCACTTTCAGCAAGCAAGGATGTATCATCTGCATATCGAAGGTTGTTAATGAGTCTTCCTCCAATCCTGGTGCCATGTTTTTCTTCATAGAACCCAGCGTCTCTCTCGTACGTAGTATTTGCTCAGCATACAGGTTGAATAAGTATGGTGAAAGAACACAACCTTGTCGCACACCTTTCCCAATTTTAAAAGATTCAGTGTCCCCATGCTCTGTTCGAACAACTGCTTCTTGGTCCAGGTACAGATTCCTCTGAAGTACAATTAAGTGTTCTGGAATACTCATACTTCTCAATGTTGTCCATAAGCTTGTCATGATCCACACAATCGAAAGCCTTTGCATAGTCAATAAAGCCTAGGTAAACATCTTTCTGATATTCTCTGCTTTCAGCCAAGATCCACCGGATATCAGCAATGATATCTCTCATTCCACAACCTCTTCTGAATCCAGCTTGAACCTCTGGAAGTTCTCTGTCAATGTATGATTGTAGCCATTTCTTTAGCAAAACTTTACTCGCTTGAGGTTATCTAAGAGATTGTTCGATAATTTCCACATTCCATTGGGTCACCTCTCTTTGGAATGGGCACAAATATGGATCTCTTCCAATCAGTCGGCCAGAGAGTTGTCTTCCAAATTTCTTGGCAGAGATGAGTGAGTGCCTCTTGTGCTGCCTCGCTTTCTTGAAAGATATCTATTTTTACTCCATCAATTCCTGGTGCCTTGTTCTTTGCCAATTCTTTTAATGCACTTTGGACTTCCTCCCTGAGTATCATTGGCTCTTTTTCATATGGTACCTCTTGAAATGGTTGAACATTAACCACTTCCTTTTTATACAATGATTCTGTGTATTCCTTCCGTCTTCTCTTGATGCATTCTGCATCATTCAATAATTTGCCCAGAGAATCTTTCAATAATGAAAGTCGAAGCTTGAATTTTTTCTTCAGTTCTCCCAGCTTGAGAAATGCTGACTGTGTTCTTCCCTTTTGGCAAGATTAAGGTGGTGTAAAACTGATGAATGGATAAAGTGGTGTATCCATACATTAGACTACTAGTTAGTCATAAACATAAATGAAGTTCTAATACATGCATTGATGTGGATGGACCTAGAAAACATAATGCATAAAAGGATAAATTTCACTCACCAGGATTACTGGTGTGGCACTGTGGGTTAATTTGCCAGAATGCACAGCTGTTTTAACTGCAAGGTCGGCACTTAACAACAATCAGTTATAGGCTGAAGACAGACTTACAAGCTTTCTATGGTGATGTTTCTAATGCGACTTATTTGTATCCTCTCCCATTTTGTTAGATTTTCCAATGGCTTTTTAATTTTTAATTTCAAAGAACCAGCTTCTTGTCCTGTTGATTCTTTCTATAGTTTTTTTGTTTGCTATCTCATTTTATTTCTGCTCTAAACTTTATTAATTCTTTTCTTCTGGGGACTGTAGGTTCCCTCTGTTGGTCTGTTTCTAATTCTTGGAAATGCTGTGTTAATGTATTAATTTCTTCCTTTCTTCTTTTTGGATATATGCATTTTTGCAATAAAGTGTACTCTTCAGCCCGGCTTTTGCCATGTCCCAAAGATTTTGGTATGTTGTGTTTTCATTCTCTTTTGTTTCTAGGAACTTTATGTGTTCATGTTTAATTTCTGCTACCACTGCGTCACTTTTCAGCATGGTGTTATTCCGTTTCCATGTATTCTATTTTATCTCCTTGGTCTTCTTAATGTTGATTTCTAGTTTTATACCATTGTGGTTTGAAAAGATGCTTTGTAGTATTTAGATGTTTGTAAATTTATGGAGCCTTGCTTTGTGACCAAACACATGGTCAATTCTGGAGAATGATCCATGTGCACTGGAAAAGAATGTGTACTGTGTTGTTGTTGGGTTGAATGCTCTGTACACATCTATGAGGTCAAGTTGGTTGATTGTGCTGTTTACTTCCTCTGTAGTTTTGTCGAGTTTCTTTCTGGTTGTTTTATCTGTAAGTTATGTATTAAAATCTCCCACTATAATTGTAGATTTGTCTATTTCTTTCTTCAATTCTAGTAGGGCCTGCTTTATATATCTTGGTGCTCTTTCATTGGGTGTGTAGATATTTACTATGGTTATGCCATCTTGCTCTATTGATGCTTTAATAATCACGAGATAGTGTTCTTCTTTATCTCTTATGCTGGTTTTTGCCTTAAAAGTTTATTTTAACAGAGATTAGTATTGCCACTCCTGTTTGTTTTTTATTGCAATTAGCTTGGCATATTTTTCTTACATCCTTTAATTTTTAGTCTGTCTTTGTGTGTAAGGCGTGTCTCTTGCAGACAGCATATTGAAGGATTTTGTTTTCTTATCCATTGACATTCTATCTCTTCATTGGTGCATTTAATCCATTGACATTCAGTGTAATTATTGATAGGTATGAATTAATTGCTGTCATTATGTTAATTTTTTGTAGTGCTATTTGTTCCTTTGTTCTGCATGCCTTCTTGGCTGAGTTCATGTTTTTTGTGCTATTTCTTGTCAGTTTCTTCTTAGTTTTATTGTTTCCTTGTCCTACTTGTATCTTCATTTTCATGGTAAGTTTTGAAGTATTAACTTAATTTGAGGTTACCCTATAGTCTATTAACTTTTTCCTCTATTAAAGACAGTTTGTTGTTGTTATGTTCCGTGGAGTCGGTTCCAACTCACAGGGACCCTTTACAGGGTTTCTGAGGCTGTAAATCTTTATGGGAGCAGACAGCCTCATCTTTCTCCCACAGAACAGCT